TTGCACTGATGACAGGGGAGCTTGCCCAACACGAGGGGAGACAAACCTCAGCATCTTCCTGTTTACAAGTTACCATTTATTATCCGTGCTACTTTTTGCCATATGGCTGTAGTGTTAAAAACTGAAAGTTAAACATTTAAGATGTCGTTTAATTGTGTCTAAAAATACAGTGGCCACGTTGTGGGTGAGAATTTGCCACAAGAGAGGGATTCCTGGAGCTGCCTGTTTATCTGTGGCTGTGGCCGGTTGGCATCCTACTCTGGGCAGCTTGTTGTTGCCATGAGACATGCTCTGGAAGCAGACAGGCTGCAGTGTGACACTCTGCTTCCCAAGAGTTTGCAGCTCTAGAACTAGTTTTTGGTGTTGCAGTCCATGCAGTTTCCTCCAGGGTCTTCCTGTGAAGAGAGGGCGTAGCATCAATGTGGCTGATGTTACAGTCCAGATACTTAAAAAGTTAAATCAAACAAGAACATAAATTGTGGGCCATGCGAGATATAGCACAAGTAATTGCTGCTGATGTGTTCCAAGGAGCAAGCCACCCATCTCTTGGCTTCTTCCTTTAGTTTCTGTATTTCTAGGCTTGGTGTGTGAGGTTTCATTTTGTCCGTTTGAAAAACACATTGTATGTGGATGTGTACTTGGCTTTGCATGTATCTTACTGAAAGCCATAAAATGACCTAGTCATTACAGATTCAGAGATGTTGGAAATATGATTCAGTATTTCCAGGTTTATTGAAATAATAGTCCCTTGTTTGTTTTTCTAGAGACAGGCAAAGTAGAAACATAGCTGTGAACAATAACATAAACCTTGCTGTTACCAAGCACTTGGCAAGCAGTTTTAGGAATGCTTCTGCTTTTCCTACATGTATATAAAACCTTAGAGAACTCTCTGACTGCAACGTATTTCAGCGTAAGGGAAGCAGAAATAAAATCAGGCCCGATATTTCATGTGCTCAGTAATGGAGGACCAAAGCAGGAAGAGACAGGTGCTTTTCTGAAAAGGATGAAAGATCTGAGCAGCTGATTCACGGTGAAGTAATATGCTTTTAGCTGAGAAGGTTTATTGTAGCTGAACCTCATGCCATCCCTCTAGCTGATATCTTAGATGAATCAGCAACTTGCTATTTTTATCTCAGTTGTACCGATAGAGTTTATAATATTGTTCTGTCAGTGCTATTTATACATCATCACATGCCTGACTACTCCAGGCTGTGCTTTTTTTCCACAGTCTTGGATGATGTCATCGTGAACTAGGCAGTTGTATTGAACAAAGGCTTTCTTCAGAGCAGCGACAATTAAAGCTTATGGCAGAGCACAACACCAGACGCCATCGAAATACAGAAATAAACTCCCAGTTTTAAGGTAGCTCTAGACAGGGCTTTCGGTGCTTCGGTGGCTGGTCCCCCTGGGGAATGGCTTGAAGAGAAGGTCCTACAGATATCGGTGCCACAGCTGGCCTTGGAGATGTGTAGGGAGCAGTGTGCTCTGACGTTTGAGACTGCTCTACACAGAGGACTCGCTAATGGTGTAATTATTCAGGGGAAAAAAAGTGTAAAAAGCTCCTCCAAGAAGGGCGATTTTCTACTGTGAACGCATTCTACATCTTCTCCTCAGTCACCCACAAACAGAGAAATAGTTTCTCTTTTCTCTTTTGCTGCCTAAGGATATTCATCCATCTTAAATGTTTTTGCTGTATTGGGAGGTTTTGAGGATGCCTGTGCTGGCTTGGCCAGCCTGCAGCCTTGACATGTGCACCTTCCCAAAGCCAGGGGACTGAAGCCCATTGTAGTATGAAGCAGAGAAAGATCTACAAACGATTTGCAAAGGAAGAATTCAGTGTCCTCAGTTGATCGCCTTTTCATTTGTGAAGTTCCAGCAAGCCTGAAATTCTTCACTCTATCCCTATTCCCCAGTGCATCACGTGCATTTCCAGCTGTTTATCATCATTCCAGAAGGCCAGCAACATGTCAACATCAACAGCTGTGTTCTTCTCATCTGCTACTTGTATTTGAGCTCTCGGAGTTTTAACCACCGAAGCTGTCGCTCAGCGCTGTTCAGACACAGCATGTATAGCTTTTTCCCTAGAAGCTGTTTCTCAGGAGCTCCATGTGTCCTCCAGCCAAGCCATGACAAGCATGTCACTGGGTCACAGATGGAGGCAAAGGAAAGAAAGTGTTACCCCTCCAGCCTCTGCCTATGCTTTGCAGCATGCTCAGAGTAACTAAGCAATTTATTTCAGAAGTACCCCTCAGTTGGACACAATTACTGGGTGCCCTGGAGACAGAGCTGGGACGTACTTATGCTGTGGTTTTCAACCTCTTGATTTGCAGACCTCTACCTCCATCTTCCAATGGGGGTTCAGACCCAGGTGTGGAAAGCTGCTGTCAGCAAGGTTAGTTTTTTCCCCATTCGTCTTCACAGACTCTCCAGTGTGTTCCACAGACCCTCAGGGAACCCCCCTCTCTCCAGGCAGGAGAGCACTGGCCCAGCCCTGGGGAAAATGCCCAACTGCCTTTTCACAGTTACTGCAGCCACCCTGTGCTCGCGAGTGGTCCTTCCCAGTGCTCTGACATTTTTAAGACACACACACACACACACACACACACACACACACACCCTTTAAATGACTTCTTTCCAAAGCCTCCTTCCAAAGTTTGGCTCTGCACAAAACATGTCAGCATCTGATAAAGGCCCAAAACAGAAACAGAATGGTATAAATAGAAATTAAGTAAATTAGGAGGAGGTGCCAAAGCAGCAAAACCCTAATGATAGCTGTGGCTGCGTGTGCATGTGCAGTGCAGCTTCCAGCACTTGCCAGCGTGCCAGGCTGCCCCTCAGTATTCTTAGAAACGTATGCATCTGCTGTGTCACTGGCACTGCCTGCTCAGCCTTGGACGGGCTTCCGCATCTTCTCGCAGACTCTTTAGAAAGCTTGGGTTTGTGCAGAAATTTGGTGCCAGAGCCCCAACCAAGCCAGCAGCAGCCTCTCTGTGGCTGGATATTTTTTTCCACACTTGGTAAATTGTGCTTGTGCTATCTGGTCAATGCAAATAGCCTTACCCTCCTTCCAGCCAGTTTGTGGGAATTGTGGCCTACCTGCGTTGTTGACTCAACTATGACACTATGTGGTTTATTTCACCTGCACTCCAGATGAAACCTGGGCCATGTTCCCAGCTGGTAAAAATCAACATGACTAAGGTGAAGTAATTTGTACCACCTGATGGTCTTCATTATAGTCAGGGCTGGAATGATAGAGCACGTCATTTTCTTCTTATTGATGCCATTTTTCCATAGGGTCATTGAGCACAAATGAACAGGAGATAAATGGATGAGAGCCACTCCCTGTAAACAGCATAACAACGGTGGGTTCCAGGTTGAGAACCTGCCAGAAATGGCAAGAGGTTTTAAAACCATATGTGTGGTGCTGGGTATGCTCAGGTAGCCCTGAGCCCCTCCGATGGCCTCCCACCATTATTTGCTTTTCCACAGAAGGCAGCTTCCAGTTTGGTCCCACCAGAGCTTTGCTGGAGGTCACTCACCCCAGCCTTTTGCTGGTCTCATTTTTCATCCCCAGTTCTCTTCATTCTGCAAATTAGGACATTCTTAGTTTGAAAATATAGTCAAGGTTTTAGAAAACTTTTGGGATGAGAAGAGGATGGATATGGAGTCAGGGGAAGATGGATGAAACATGTCACTCTTGGGCTGCTTAGCATATGCATATGTTTTGTCCCTACCATATATTGAATTGAGGACCTGTGCTTTTGAGGGAAGAAACCTAGAAAGGGAGGTTTACCAGGTCTTTATGTGATGCTACCTTGCTGAAATTTATACTGATACAGATTGCCTTGTGCTGAATCTTGCTTACCTTTTGCTGTGTCCTGATGTCCTTCCTTGCCAGCTTGGCTTGCAGGTATGTAGGGGGGACTATGGGGCAAGGGAGAGATAATATTTGCTCTTCTGCGAAGAGCTGTTGGTCTCCTGAAGCTCAAGGGAGCTGCCAGGTATGAGCACAGTCACACTGGAGGTGTTCTTCGATGCCGCAAAACAAATGGTGAAACTGTTATAGGGAAGAGTAACATCTCCTGTTAGACCAACTGATACTCTGAGGAAGCGGACAAGGTTTTGGGCACTTGGTTCTGTGTAATTAAAAGGAGCGCACTGAATGAACGGGCCTGGAGTAAGGGAGGCAAAAATAGAAACGGCCATCTGTCAATACGCTACTGGATGGCTAATTGGGAAGCCTCAGGTCTCAACTGCTAAATGTCCTGCCTCATTTCCTTACAAAATAGAGAGAGCAATCTCTCCTCAGGGCCTGGGCGCAGCTCAGTGCAATGGGGGGTCTGGGTGAGCTCCCCTAATGTACTTCTGTGGCAGGTCAGATGCTGCTGCCCGTGCCGGGAGGCTTTTCTGTCCTGCGGACCACCAGCCTCCTGCGGCCGGGCAACGGGAAAAGTCCTCGTGGCAGGAAAAGTAGGGAAAGGACTGGAGGCAGGTTCGCATCTGTCGTCTCCGCCTGCTTGGGCAGGAGAATTTCCTTCCCAGCGAGCAGCCCAGCTGCAGAGCCTGAAACAGAGAGGAGGCAGCCCTGCTGGGACTGTTAGATTTATCAAAATGAGATCCTTACATTACTTTGAGGTGTCACCTCTACAAATGATACTTAACATTATAAATATATATGTAACGCGTATGTAATGATTGATTTCATAGTCACCACACACATTGGAAACATTGTTAACGTGATGCTACAGACAGGAGTTAGTCCAAATTAAAGGCAGGAAATTCCAAGGTATTGTTCTTGTGGAAACTGTGACAGCTGAATTATATGGGCTTGTTAAGGAACTAAAGATAACCCCATTCAGAGTAGATAAAAACGTTATGTATGAGCAAGGAAACTGAATTACAATTGCAGTGGGAGCCGTAAGTCTGAATATCTTGACTGTTGTGTGCAGTAAATGGAAACTCCACCATGCTGTTATATTAATTTGGTACTTTTTATTTAGGGACAAATCTTGAATTTCTTTGCCTCAAAACTCCAGTGGAGGTAATGGAGAGGTTTTAAATCCAGAAGGATTCAGGCATGGGGATTCAACACCTGGTTCGTGTAGGTAGGATGAACTTCCATCTTGATTGTGTTTTCTGTCATGGTTTGGTGGTGGGTGTAACTGTGGAAAGCATCCTGAGTCGTCTTTAGACTCTCCAGGAGGAGACTGTGTGACTTGTAAACAAACATTGGAATTAATTTCTCGCTGGTCACAGCCTCTTCTTCTGAGACAAAAGCCATGGCAGGATCCTGGAGAATAGAAACCATCTGACAACATCCGCGGCACACCTCAAGGGCCCGGTACCCCTTCCCACCCCAGCACGTGTCTGCTCACAGACAGGGGCACTCCCTGGCACCTCTCGTGATGAAGGAGATCCGAAGGAGGTCATCTCGGGATGAAGCACATCTGGCTGCCATCAGCCACGCTGCACCCTCGCAGCCTCCAGGCCGTTGGCTTGGCAGAGGACCTCGGGGGAGCACTTTGGGCTGAGGAGAGCATCCCCAGTCGAGTTCACCCTTACCTATGTTTGGGGACCACCGAAAGAGGCGATGGGGTTTGGCCGGGGGAGCATCCTGGCAGCTGCTGACCCCTGCTCTGGGCAGGTGAAGGGGAGGGACACCTCTGCCAGCAGGTTTGGGAAGAAGTTTTTCTGTCATTTTATTGCAACACCTCTACCTTGCCACTAGTTTTCCTACTCCGAGACAGTAATCGGTCTAAGTTTTGTTGCCATAACGTTACACACGTGGAATTTGAGACATTTTGCTTCTGCTTTGCTTTGTTTTAATCAGGCTTGCTTGAAATGTCATATTTAAATGAGAAAAACAGCAAGGCTGTAGAAATCTCAGCCATAGACTTTGAGGCAATAACTGTGTACAGAGTAGGTGAGTCACTGGGACTACCTGAGATCTGCAGTTGCCACCTATAAATATCAAATATCAGTATGTGTAGAGAAGGTGAATGCAGAGGACAGAAAATAGTTTTACTCCATGCTGTAGTATGATTCATGCTTTTAAGATCAAGATTAAAAGTCTCTGTTAGGTTCCAGACTATGATTTTATTTTCATTTACATCAAAGGATTTATGAGCCTTCAAAACCCAGCATTTTTAAAAATAGCTTAAAACATACTGTCTGGCAATGTGAGTCCCAGTTAGCGTAGAAGAAGCCAGGCTCTCCTCATATAAAGCAAATAACTGAAAAATCAGAATTAAAGAAATACCTTGTCCTCGGTTTAACTCTGACAGATTGTACTGTATTTTTGTTTCAGGAAAAAGACTTCATGAAACATGGGCCCTTGTAGCCAGGACATAGCCCTGGGTGATAAGCCCTACAGATCAGCAAAACCCATGTACCATAAAAGCTTGTGCAAATATTCAGGGCCTTGATTTGAATTTTTGGGCTTGTTTGTATTTCAAAAGCAAAGCTACTGATTGCATCTTGAAAACCATATTCCAGTGCAGGTTTCCTCAAAACACAGCCCAGGTTTGATCAAAAGGTTTCAAGTCTGCAAACCTTTTGACAAACCTGACGAATGTTTATGCTTTCTAAGTAAACCCCAAACCAAGTGCATTTGCATGGGCTGGCATCTTGCTATAGAGACATTTTTATTCATCGCGGCCCCCCCCCCCCCCAAGTTCTTGCCAAAATCCCATCCATGCCCTAGAACTGGGCTTCTGAGGCTGCCATTCCAATATTTTTATTGATAAACATGCCAACAGGCACAGAAAATAAATATCTACACCCAAACAAAATATTTAGCTGTATTTGTAAAACCCAAAATTAAAAGCAATTTTGTGTTTTGGTTTAATTTAATGTCTGTTCATGTGGATAAGACTGCACAGTGTTTGCTCGTCCAAACCACTATAATAATCCTTACTGCATATAGAAACACATTTTAATTATAGAGCAATAAATATTGTGTCTTTTTTTGCTATATGCATTTTTTTATCAGCAGACAAAAGCTGACATTTATTTTACTGATAGCCCTATATTTCCCCTCCTGCTACCACCGCAGCAGAATTCCCCTTGCCCAAGGAAATTGAGAGGATCAGAGCACATCTGATGTTCCATTAATTTAAAACGGCTGCCAGGACTTGCATATTGTAGCAGCTTTAAAGTGATTGAATTTGGATTATTTCAAACTCGGGAAAGTCCTGCCTTGCCTGACAGAGGCATATCAAGTGACAAAATAACATACGACCCCAGGACGAGAATATCTGCGTGTACATACATTCTCTTCCTGGCGCACACAGCCTTGCAACAGGCAGATTAGAAGCAATGGAAAGAAAAACCCTATTTTTTTTTTTTTTTTTTTTTTTTTTTGTAGCAGGCCCCTCTCTTTTAAGCTGTAGCCCAGCTAAGTGGAGACACCTGGTGTTTGTTGCAGCAAATTCACGAAAAACATGCGAAAGGGGGAAGAGGAGAGCAGGGGTGGCCGGGGTGCTCTGTCTGGGGTGCAGGGCTTGGCCATGCAGCTGAAAAATAAATAAATTCCTTTCCCTTGCCAGGGTCTGGCACCAGCCTGGTGCCTTCCTCCACTCACCCTCCTGCAAGTGTGGCTGTGCCCCGAGCACAGGGGGGCTGTTACACACGAGCTGGGGGTGTCTGGAGAGGGAGGGAAGCTTCACCCTGTCAGGTGTGGAATGAAAGCGCTAACTTTTGAGTAGTAACTGTTTTGTAATGCTTACTGAGTAGCTTGTGTAACGTGGTTCCAAAAGCAGAAAAAGTTTACACGCGGCCAAAGGAATATTAACGTTTCACTACAAAAGAAATATTGTGGCTGCCAAGGCCTGATTACTCATAAAATCCACAGCATTATCACCATCCATCACTGCCGTTCTTTTAATGACCAAACTAAAAAGAGAGACATCAAAGTCGGGGCGGTGGTGTCGTCGTCATTTTTCGAGAGTAAGGTTCCCTAAATATAGGACGAATACTAGAGCTTGACATACTTTTTGACCAAAAAAATTGAAAAATCATTTGAATGAATCACAAAACATATGTTATGTTTTGCTGTAAAAGCCATGAAGTTTATGCAGTGCTCTATTATGGTGACTGCTTGGCTTTTCATGCATTCCTAAATTACCATGTAATCTAAAACCTTGTTTTCAGCTGCTCTATATTGGAAAGTCCCTTGCAATAATCAGGATGATTACAGGCTAGTGCAGAGAACAAAACTTGTTTGTATTATTGCAAATAAAAATGCAGTTTATCAGAAATTTTACCTTTCAAGGGAAAAATAAATAAAAAAAAATAATAATAATAAACTTTTGCTTTTCCCTTGCTGGAAATATTTTAAGCATGGAATTAATTTTGGCCACTCTACGACTTAAAAACACATGGATACTTGGTGTAAAAATATGTTTCTTTCCTGTAGGGACTTGACTCTAATTGGTGTGCCAAAACTATCTCACAGAGATTTCATTGTCTTATCTACTTACATCATCTTAATGCGATTTTATTTTACTTTGTCAAAGTCATATTAATGTAAATGTGTTCTTGATAGCAAACAGAGTTCTTTTTTATGCTAAACAGGATTCAGCTGACTCTAATAAAACAGCTTGCAATCCATTAGACTATAACTGTAATATAGTTATTTTGTTTCCCAAATAAAGACTGTGTCAGAAAGCTGTATAAGGATTTTTGTCTTGTTTTTCCACAATAATTGCTTGGGTGGGGTTGCATTCTGATCTTTAAATGAATAGTATCGCTTGGAACAAACACTTCATATATCTTTTATCTTCCCCTTGCAATACAGTTCTGAGTTTTCTTTGAAAATGCAAAGCTACTTTTCCAGATAAGTCATCAAAATGTTTCCAAAGTATTTTAACTGCCAGATTAACTATATCTTGAATACAAAGATAGATGGCTTACATTCTTTATGCAGAAATCCTGCCAATGCATAGCAACTAGCAACAAAATAATTTCTTTTGCAACAGTGGGGAAAAAAAAAAAAAAAAAAAAAAAAAACAGAAAAGAAAAGAAAAACCTGCTTTGCTATGCAAAGCTCAAAAAGGTAAATAGATATTTAAAAAGAAAATAAGGTTACTTGTTCTGAAAGGGTAATCTGTAAGCAAAGAATAGAGGATTAAACATACATTTGCTCTCTTTGCAGAATCTAGCCTTCTCTTAATGTATTCAGCTAATTAAGAACTGCAGTGACCTTGTGGCACATTTTGAAATCTAGGAATTTCTATTTTTTATTTTATTTTTGTTTCTTTAAATGCTGCCTCCCCCACAGAGCTTAATACAATCTGTTTCAGGTCAAAGTCTGTTTATGTCAGCAATGTTCATACTACACAACTAAAATGTTTTAATGCATTTATCAACTGGAAAATATTGCAAACATTTCATTTCCTTTGATACAGACACAAAAAACCCTCTGCCTTCATTGCAAATTCTTGTTCATATGAATCACTCTGAGTAATATTTGCTTTAACTTTCGTGTGGTTCTACAAACAGCCTTTATATGGCTGGACTTCAAAGCTGGTAGAAATAAAGGTTAGAAATGTGATAGGAGTAATCTATTATTAGGCATGAAACATTAAACCACTTTTAGTTATAAGCCTTAAAACCTGAATAATCTGGGTTTTTAACTTGCTGCATATTTATTGTGTTTTCAGTTACTTAAGTCATTTAGCGTGGAGGGACTGTTTTGAACAGAAATATTTTCCATAGGAATAAGAACCACAATTGGGTTTAATTTTTCCTAATATTTAATTTAGAAAAACTTCAATATTATAACAGACGTCTCGTATGTCAAAGCTGAAATACTCTGCTCGGTGTTTCTTGCAGTGTAAAATTAATCTCTTACCAGCACGCTGACCCGAAAGGCAGGTTTTAGTGAAATAGGCACAGGGTGAAGGGAGGGGGGTGGGAAAGGAAGATAAAATCTCGTTCTTCAAATAGCAGGGAGGGGAAAAAAAAAAAAAAAAAAACCAACACCGAGGAATGTCACAGCCCGCCATTGACATCAAATGAGAAAAAACCGACCCAAATGTGCGTGTGTGAGAAGTTCATCCCTCACTGTCCCCAGGGTGGGGATGCTGGTGGTTAGCTCTGCGCGGGGGCGTTGCTGGGGGGCGTGGGGGGGACCCCATCGTGTCCCTTCACCCCTTCCCTCCCCACGGTGCGGGGAACGCGCTGATGGTCCAAGGGGACCCCGATGTTGTGGGGGGATCGCGATGGGTTTGGGGGGGGGGGACGACAAACTGTTTGGCTGGTGGCAGGGTAGGAACAGCGCTCGGGGTTGATAAGGGTTGGGTCTTGGTCAAGTTTGTGTACTAATACAGTAGATTAAAAATAAACCCAACGGTCGAAATCACGTAACAGTTCAAGCCAAACAGGTCAGCCAGAAATAAGCCCACATTTGTAATCCAGAATTTTAAACCCTCATGAGCCTGGGAAAGCACAGGGGTGCAGCCTGGGCCCGATCCTGGTCCCACCAGCACCAGTGGGAATTTAACCATTGATGACACGAGCCCCATTTAATTTTTCTGTTGATTTCAAGCCTAAAAAATTTGTTTTGTTTCCCTAGGTCCCGCTGTGCCAAGATACTAGAGCCGCTGGCTTTCCGGCTGCCCTGCACAGGGTGGGAGGGGGGAGGTTTGCTCGCCCCTTCCCGCAGAGGCGCGGTGGGCTCAGCCCCGGTGTCGTCGCATCACCGGGGAGACCTCGGTGGAACGTGGAAAACAAACCCAAACCATCA